GGGAAAGAGATACGTAAATGGTGATACTTTTTTTTGACAAATTCGAAATAACTTTCCTTGAATCTGTGGAATTGAATGTGAAAATGCGTATGCCATTGATACTTTATGCCCTTGATTACTACACCTCTTGGTGTTTTTTAGCTGCCTGATTCATTGTGATATTCTTCTGTAATTCTATGAAGTTTGATTGTGAATTTTTGTGGACTTGTTATATTCAGTCTGAACCTATGAAGTTTGATTACTACGCCTATGTTTGATTGTGCTATCATACATAGTTATTGCTTCCAAGAACATTCTCATCAACCTGTTGTTTAAATTTGCAGGATGGGTAAGTTCCGATGCCTGTGCCTGTATATGTGGTGTTTGTCTACAGGGCATTCTCCAGTATTCGATTACACGGGTTCCCTTCTCATGCATTCGTTTTGTACACATTTGATTCTCCCACTATGGATCAAGAACCGCCTAGTAATTTCTTCAAGGAACTTCGAGATTTTTTTATCTAATTTGTCGGTGTTCCTCATGCAGGCATTTTGTCCCAAATTTAACGATCGGTGCACCCATTATCGAGAGTTTGAGAAAGCACACCGAGTAATGTTGTTTTTCATCTCACCCCCTTAACTTAAGCTTAGACACGTGAACTGATGTCTGAAGCTGAATTTACTGTTTGGGTGCATCACAGTGCTTATCTTGATTGTCATCTTATGGTGACAAATCCCCTGGATTACGTGGAGCCTCTGGCTAAAGCCGGGGCGTCTGGTTTCACATTCCACATCGAGGCGGCCAAAGGTTCAGTTTCTCTGTGATCTCTCTCATCTCTTTCTCGCCAAAAAAGCTTCCTCGCCATCCTTTATTTTCTCTTCTCGTAGATTCAAACTTTCACTGTACCGATTCTTTCAGACAATTGGCGAGAACTTGTTCAGAAAATTAAGTCTGCTGGAATGAGGCCGGGCATATCACTGAAGCCTGGAACACCCATCGAAGAAATCTATCCTCTGGTATGACTTTTTTTTAATGCTATGGAGATTAACGTTGACATTGGCCAGTAAGGTTCCAACATTCTGTAGTTTGTTCTTCTTGTTCTGTGACAGGTTGAAGGAGAAAATGCTGTTGAAATGGTTCTTGTGATGACCGTAGAACCTGGATTTGGTGGACAGAAGTTCATGCCAGACATGATGGATAAGGTGCCATGTACCAAATTTGTTTTTTTATTTTCCTGTGTTCTCGTGGTGGTGGTTATTTCCCTTTGACATAGATTATATGAATCTCAGATCTTGTGCCAGCGACGGATGTAAATATTTTTGCTTGTCCGATGAAAACAAAACATTAGTTTCTAGTGAAAACTGCTATGTTTCGCTTCATCTGGATCATGTATTTATTTTTGGTTTGTGGTTGTGGGTGACAAAGGTTCGTGCATTGAGGAGCAAATACCCGACTCTTGATATCGAGGTAAGCTTCTCGCCTTTTCAGTTCAGAATGTTGCATCAAGATATAAAGATTTGGTTGGAATGAGAGCGAATAATATCATTATACGAAGTTGACTCTGCCCACATGGTCCTAAGCCCCAAATAACTCGCGTGATGTCCCATTGGGTTGTCGGAAAGAGTTTCATATTTGGTAAGTTCATGCGGATGTCGTAAAACGTGTGCAGGTGGACGGAGGGTTGGGGCCGTCGACCATAGACGTGGCGGCTGCGGCAGGGGCCAACTGTATAGTGGCCGGAAGTTCAGTGTTCGGAGCGCCGGATCCTGGTCTTGTCATCTCCCTCCTCAGGGACTCTGTTCTCAAAGCCCAAACCACATCTTGAGGTTCTGGTCTTGTAATAATATCTGACTTTTGAATAATTATAGATATCCATAATTAAAAAAATATATATATTGTTATGGTCATCGAGTTGGGCTATATATGTGGTATCTAATGATATAACACTTTTGTGAAATGATTCAACTTCTCCACCAATTTAGTCTAAAGTTACGAATCCAAGTTTCATGCATATATGCCTTGATGTAAAAAAACATAATTTCTTCACCGATTGTGAAAACGCATTCACTCAGCTTCAGTTGATGTGATTCGACTTAATTGCATGGCATTATCCATCAAAGTATAACTACGTATTTTAACATTATTTTATATAATATTAAAACACGTTTTTATCGTCGTTCAAGGATTATGATCTATGTTGATTGTGTTAAATTCCGTATATAACCCTGTTCAGACTCGCAAACAAAGAGTAAGATATGAATCAATCTGAATGTGTAATATTAGTGCGAATCATGGGTCAAAGGATGAATGAACCTTGCATCAACCCAAGAAAGGAAGCCGAGCTCATTACCAGAGGAAGATGGATATGACCAAACCGATACATTTAATCTGTGGTCAAATAATAAATTTTCAAAATATTCCACGTAAGGAGAAGAATTTTTATGTTTTCTTCAACTATATAAGCTGTCCACAGAAGCCATATATTTCACCAACATATTCACAACAAAAATACATAACAATCATATTCATAATCCCCCGAGTCATGGCCAGTCGCTCTTGCTCGTTCTTTTTGGCTTTGCTGCTTCTCGTTTCAGGTACTTTTATCAACAACCATTTTTTCATCTATCCATATATATATATATATATATATATAAACATGTTGTTATTGAATTCGATTTTTTATTTTTGTTTTTTGTTTTATAACAGTCACAGCTGTATTACCGGCAAGTAAAGCTCAGCAAAAGAGGTGTATCAAAGAGTTGGACCCAACAACGCAATGTGTGCTATCAAACTGCAGGGCGAAATGTCTGAGTCAATTGAATGGATTCGGAAGCTGTTTTGAGAAACCTTCTGGTTCCGGGAGTTATGTCTGCAATTGCGTTTATAATTGTGGTTCTGCATGATTTTAGTAGCACAAAACTATATATGTTCACTTACCATTACGTAAAATAAAACTATATGTTTCTATACAATTATCAAGACTAAACTTGTGTTTTATTTCTCACAAAATACACGCTAAACGAAATAATAAAATCAAAATAATTCCATCAATTTCGAAACTATCTTATTAAATGATTTAAACATTTTACATTAGTTATACAAAAACAATTATATCAAGTAATGCAAAAATTATATTCAAATCTAAATTTGGATAATTCAACCAGTGAAATACAGACGTTTAACATTTATCCCGCCCCAAATTCAAATTTCAAGTTTGAAAGAAAACATTGACATTAGTTTCTCCAATCGTTTAGATTAGTTTGAGTTTCTTCATGGATATCCAGATACCCAAAAAAATTCTATTAAATAAAATATTAAATCTAACAAAAAATTATTTATTGGTACACTAAATGAGTGTGATTTCAGAAATTTAAAAATTGATTTTAGTAGCACAAAACTATGCATGTTCACTTACCATTACGTAAAATAAAATTATATGTTTCTCTCGAATCATCACCGAATGTGACTAGAAACTCGTGTTTTCTATCCCACAGAATACGCGCCAAACAAACAAATATCAATAATGAGATCAGAATGCTTCCATGAATTTCGAAATTATCTCATAACTTTTAAATGGTTTAAACATTTATATTAGTTGTATAAAAACAATTTGTATCATGTAATGCAAAAGTTCTATTAAAAAAAATTAAACCTAACAAAAAATTATCTATTAGTACACTAAATATATGAGTGTAATTTCAGAAAATTTGAAAATTGATATTTATAAATGATATTGAATGATACACGATTGGAGTAAACATACATTATGTTTTTACGTACAAATTCTAGGTGCCCTTCATTCTATTAGAGGTAAACATAGAAAATCATCTCGTGCTAGACATTGTGTGGTCAATCCCCTTTCAGGAAAAATCCCATGAAAATATTCAACTTTTCAAAATATACATTTAAAACTTCAACTATTCATGACTTCCAAATAAACATTCAATTTTTATGTCTAAAAAATCCTTACTACTGTTAAATATCCATTCAAAACATCAATCACAACAAAATCAAATAAAACATACAAATTTTATAAAAAAGAAATATCAAAAACCAATTTTTCTGAATTTATATGTTTTCAATTCAATAAAAAATATATTTATAACAATAATAATTTGATACCATAAATATATTTATAATAATATAATTTATACTATTAAGTGGTGAAAAATATAATAACTTTCTTTATATTTTTATAAATATGAATTTTATGTATTTGTAGATAGTTGTATATTGTATATGGATATATAATAATAATAATAATAATAATAATAATAAATATTATTATTATTATTATTATTATACTTTATGTAATATATTTATGATATAATAATTTAATAAAAATGATGATGTGTTTTAGATATTTTATTAAATTTTTTATTTTTATTTGGATTTTCGTTGATTTGAGGTTTTACATGGACGTTTTTTAAATATTTTGATTTTTTTGGATGCTTTATAAAAAAATTTAAAGTTTATTTAGATCTATAAATAATTAAGAGGCTAAAAGGATCGTTTTGAAAAGTTTAGAATTTTTTTTTTAATAATTCGAAAGTTCACTGAGGATTCGACCCGACTATATCTCCCGAGATTCGTCTTCTGAAATTTGTACCGCAATTAAATTATGTACCTTTCTTTCGTAACTCGAACATGAAATATGGGACAAGAAGTCAAAAACCTTCTACCCTTAACAATCATCAATACCACCCAACCGTGGTCGGGTGAGAAAAAAAGTTTAGGGCTTTTTTTAGGTTTTTATCTCTCCTTTTATAATGTTCTGCTAATTCGAAGCACGTAGAATTAACCAAACAAGTAATAGTACATAAGATATTTTCATGAGATTCGATTATCTCTCTATTTTGTAGGAACAAATGCATATTATGATTTTGTTCCTTTTCATAATCTATGGTTATAATCTTTTCTACTCTTATAACATGAATTCTAACAACCCAGTTTGTTGGTTACGCAATAGTTGAGAGATAACAAAGTCATCCTTAAAGTTTTGGGTTCGATTCCACTGGTGGAGAAGATGAGTGCAATTAATTATGTGACTAAAAATTGACTCCGAACAGAGGATTAAGCAGGCCGAATGCTCACTGAACCTCCTGATTATCAAACAAAAAAAAAGAATGCTAATAGTTTCGCATTTTTCTTCTATCTTAACTTCATGAAATGTTTATATCCTTTTAAATACAATCACACCTATGATAACTACTTTATATGAAAAGTTTTATGAAAGGTTAAGAACCCTATCATATGTAACCATCCATAACTACGTATATTCACATAGAAGTATATGTTCTTTCATGAATTCTTAATAAATATATGACACATTCAAATTAAACGTATGCTTTAAAGATTAAAACCTCGTATTTTATTGTGATCGATCAATAATCGTATACAAAGAATACCGATACAATAGATACTGTTATAAGATGTTACATATATCGCTATTTATGGATACATCGATTCCTAAACCGAAATAACTTTAAAATGTTACAACTTCAAATGTTACCAAATTTAGATGGTAAAAAAGCCTATTACCAAAAATATCAATTATAAAATTAACCTTATTAACAAATACAACTGTTTCGTTGGACTATATAAACAGTCCAAAGAAGACGAATATTTCACGAAACACTTCACCTTCACGACAAACACAAAACAATAATTAATATCCATAATCTCTCAAGTCATGGCCAACCGTTCTTGCTCGTACTTTTTGGCTTTGGTGCTTCTCGTCTCGGGTATTTTTTATCTTCATTTAATTGTTATGACGACCTACCATTATTTCATTCTTACTTTATATAAACATATGATGACCATTGGATTGGATTTTATTTTTAAAAAATTTGTTGAGAACAGTTATGACAATGTTACCGGGAGGTGAGGCACAAAAGAGATGCGTAAAAGAGTTGGACCCAAATACGCAATGTGTACTATATAACTGCAGGGCCAAATGTTTCAAACAATTTAATGGATTCGGAAGCTGCATTGAGAAACCTTATGGCTCCGAGAAATATGTTTGCAATTGTGCTTATAATTGCGGTTCCGCATTATTACAAACATGACGGAATTAAAGCTTCCGACAAGACAAGAACAAGAACATGATACGTATGGTTGTTCTTTAAGTTTGTTTAAATAAGTGACTGCAATGACAGTTACATGTGTGTTTAAAAACGCTGTAATGATCTGAATTATATGTAAAGAGGTGGAAAAAATTAAAGAATAATAAAATTATGGTACGAAACTTTGTGCTAACTATTAAATGATTTGATTAGTTTATATTAAATGTGTAATCATCAATTTTTTTAAAAAACAATAGGTAGGTGGACAGCGGCTAATGGACACCCATGTTTTAAAAATAAAAATAATAATAACTAAAGTGGGCGGATTAGCCGTCCACATTAAAAAAACACACAAAAACTCTCATATATAAAAAGAGATGTCCTCGCATAGGGAGAGCAAAAAAAATAAAAAAATATAGTAAAAAAAGAGAGAAAAAAAGAGTTCTTATTAAAATTAAAGAAAAAGTTCTAATCAATCTAGAAAAAACTACCGTCACGAAAAAACGACCGACATAATTTTATGAGTGAATTTGGATGTAATTCGAGAATTTTATTTTTATTGATTTCGGAGTTCGAATGTTTGTATGCAAAATTGATAGTTAATTGTGTTTCTTGAATATTATATGATTATTTTCATGTCTATAAATCATTGTGTTGATTTGAATAGTTTTATGAGTTAAAGAAGTCGGGAACAAGTCGGACTGATCCCAAACTGTCCGGATTGAGGTTAGAGACGAAGAACATGCAAAAAATTCATTGATGGACATAAAAATTCATCTTTTTATGTCCCTCCAACTATATAAGCATTCCACAGAAGTCATATATTTCACCAACATATTTACAACAAATAATACAAAACAATCATACTCATAATCCCTCAAGTCCTGGCCAATCGTTCTTGCTCGTTCTTTTTGGCTTTGATATTTCTCGTCTGGGATATTTTTTTTAATATCTTCATTTAACTGTTATGACCAACCATTATTTCATTTTTTATTTATAGGGAAAAACTCATATTCCTCCACGAATTTTCATTAATGTTTCGATTTTTTATACCAATTTTTAATTTGATAAAAAAAATTATACTGAATTTTAACCATTTCCAAAATCCCACAAAATATTGAAAAGTGTTGCAATTTCTTCTATATCCATAAACAGTATTAAATTCCGTCAATTTTAATGATGACATGATGTGTCATATCATTTTTATTCTGCCAACAACAGAGGTGTATAAAAGAGTTGGATTCAACAACGCAGTGTGTGTTATCAAACTGCAGGGCAAAATGTTTGAGCCAATTGAATGGATTCGAGAGCTGCTTTGAGAAACCTTCTGGTTCCGGGAGTTATGTCTGCAACTGCGCTTATAATTGTGATTCCGCATGATTTTAGTACTACTAAACTATATATGTTCGCTTAGCGTTACGTCAAATAAAACTTATATTTTTCTTTTTAATTATCAAGATTAAACTTGTGTTTTTTCCCAAAAAATACGCACTAAACGAAATAATAAAATCAAAATAATTCCATCAATTTCAAAACTATCTTGTAACTATTAAATGATTTAAACATTTTTACATTAATCATACAAAAACAATTTATATCAGATAATGCAAATAATTTATATCAGGTAATGCAAAAATTGTATTTAACTCTAAATATAAATAATTCAACCGGTTTTAGTAGTACAAAACTATATATGTTCACTTACCATTAAGTAAAATAAAACTATATGTTTCTCTCAAATCATCACCGAATGTGACTAGAAACTCGTGTTTTCTACGCGCCAAATGAATATCGATAATGAAATCAGAATGCTTCCATAAATTTCGAAATTATCTCTTAACTTTTAAATGGTTTAAACATTTATATTAGTTGTATAAAAACAATTTGTATCATGTAATGCAAAAGTTCTATTAAAAAAATTTAAACCTAACAAAAAATTATCTATTAGTACACTAAATATATGTGTAATTTCAGAAAATTTGAAAATTTATATTAATAAATGATATTGAATTATACACGATTGGAGTAAACATGCATTATGTTTTTACGTACAAATTCTAGGTGCACTTCATTCTATTAGAGATAAACATAGAAAATCATCTCGTGCTAGACATTGTGCGGTCAATCCCCTTTCAGGAAAAATCCCATGAAAATATTCAACTTTTCAAAATATACATTTAAAACTTCAACTATTCATGACTTCCAAATAAACATTCAATTTTTATGTCTAAAAAATCCTTATTACTGTTAAATATCCATTCAAAACATCAATCACAACAAAATCAAATAAAACATACAAATTTCATAAAAAAAAGAAATATTAAAAACCAATTTTTCTGAATTTATATGTTTTCAATTCAATAAAAAATATATTTATAACAATAATAATTTAATAATATAAATATATTTATAATAATATAATTTATATTATTAAGTGGTGAAAAATATAATAACTTTCTTTATATTTTTATAAATATGAATTTTATGTATTTGTTATTATTATTATTATTATATTTTATGTAATATATTTATGATATAATAATTTAATAAAAATGATGATGTGTTTTGGATATTTTATTAAATTTTTAATTTTTATTTGGATTTTCGTTGATTTGAGGTTTTACATGGACGTTTTTAAAATATTTTGATTTTTTTGGATACTTTATAAAAAAATTTAAAGTTTATTTAGATCTATAAATAATTATGAGATTAAAAGGATCGTTTTGAAAAGTTTAGAATTTTTTTTTAATAATTCGAAAGTTCACTGAGGATTCGATCCGACTATATCTCCCGAAATTCGTCTTTTGAAATTTGTACTGCAATTAAATTATGTACCTTTCTTCCGTAACTCGAACATGAGATATGGGACAAGAAGTCAAGAATATTCTACCCTTAACAATCATCAACACCACCCGACCAATACGGTCGGGTGAGAAAAAAAGATTAGGGCTTTTTTTAGGTTTTTATCTCTCCTTTTATAATGTTCTGCTAATTCGAAGCACGTAGAATTAACCAAACAAGTAATAGTGCATAAGATATTTTCATGAGATTCGATTATCTCTCTATCTCGTAGGAACAAATGGATTTTGTTCATTTTCATAATCTATGGTTATAATCTTTTCTACTCTTATAACATGAATTCTAACAATACAACAGTTGGTGACGCAATAGTTGAGATAACAAAATCATCTTTAAAGTTTTGGGTTCGATTATACTGGTGGAGAAGATGAGTGCAATTAATTGTGTGGCCAAAAATTGACTCCGAACAGAGGATTAAGCATGCCGAATGCTCACTGAACCTCCTGATTATCAAACAAAAAAAAAAGAATTCTAATAGTTTCGCATTTTTCTTCTATCCTAACTTCATGAAATGTTTATATCCTTTTAAATACAATCACACCTATGATAACTACTTTATATGAAAAGTTTTATGAAAGGTTAAGAACCCTATCATATGTAACCATCCATAACTACGTATATTCACATAGAAGTATATGTTCTTTCATGAATTCTTAATAAATATATGACACATTCAAATTAAACGTATGCTTTAAAGATTAAAACCTCGTATTTTATTGTGATCGATCAATAATCGTATACAAAGAATACCGATACAATAGATATTGTTATAAGATGTTACATATATCGCTATTTATGGATACATCGATTCCTGAACCGAAATAACTTTAAAATGTTACAACTTCAAATGTTACCAAATTTAGATGGTAAAAAAGCCTATTACCAAAAATATCAATTATAAAATTAACCTTTTTAACAAATACAACTGTTTCGTTGGACTATATAAACAATCCAAAGAAGACGAATATTTCACGAAACACTTCACCTTCACGACAAACACAAAACAATAATTAATATCCATAATCTCTCAAGTCATGGCCAACCGTTCTTGCTCGTACTTTTTGGCTTTGGTGCTTCTCGTCTCGGGTATTTTTTTTTTATCTTCATTTAATTGTTATGACGACGCCATTATTTCATTCTTTATTTATATAAACATATGATGACCATTGGATTGGATTTTATTTTTAAAAAATTTGTTGAGAACAGTTATGACAATGTTACCGGGAGGTGAAGCACAAAAGAGATGCGTAAAAGAGTTGGACCCAAATACGCAATGTGTACTATATAACTGCAGGGCCAAATGTTTCAAACAATTTAATGGATTCGGAAGCTGCATTGAGAAACCTTATGGCTCCGAGAAATATGTTTGCAGTTGCGCTTATAATTGCGGTTCCGCATGATTTTATTACAAACGTGACGGAATCAAAGCTTCCGACAAGACAAGAACCTGATACGTACGGTTGTTCTTAAAGTTTGTTTAAATAAGTGACTGCAATGACAGTTACATGTGTGTTTAAAAACGCTGTAATGATCTGAATTATATGTAAAGAATTGGAAAAAATTAAAGAATAATAAAATTATGGTACGAAACTTTGTGGTAACTATTAAATGATTTGATTAGTTTATATTAAATGTGTAATCATCAATTTTTTAAAAATAGGTAGGTGGACAACGGCTAATAGCCGCCCATGTTTTAAAAATAAAAATAATAATAGTAATAACTAAAGTGGGCAGATCAGCCGTCCACGCAAAAAAAAAACACACAAAAACTCATATATAAAAGGAGATGTCCTCCGTAGAGAGAGTAAAAAAATTAAAAAATATAGTAAAAAAAGAGAGAAAAAAAAGTATTTATTAAAATTAGGGAAGAAGTTCTAATCAATTCAGAAAAAACTACCGTCACTAAAAAACGACCGACATAATTCTATGAGTGAATTTAGATATAATTCGAGAATTTTATTTTTATTGATTTCGAAGTTCGAGTGTTTGTATGCAAAATTGATAGTTAATTGTGTTTTTTTGAATATTATGATTATTTTCATGTCTATAAATTATTGTATTGATTTAAATAGTTTTTGTGAGTTAAGAAGTCTGGACCAAATCGGACTGGTTCCAAACTGTCTGGACTGAAATTACAGACGGAGAACATGCGAAAAATTCATTGATGGACGAAGAATAAAATCTAATTTATTAATTAATGGAATGAAGATTGATGAGATGACGGTATTGTGACACCTTTTTATGTCCCTCCAACTATATAAGCATTCCGCAGAAGCCATATATTTCACCAACATATTTACAACAAATAATACAAAACAATCGTTCTCATAATCCCTCAAGTCCTGGCCAATCATTCTTCCTCGTTCTTTTTAGCTTTGATATTTCTCGTCTCGGGTATTTTTTTAATATCTTTATTTAACTGTTATGACCAATCATTATTTCATTTCTTATTTATAGGAAAAACTCATTTTCCTCCACGATTTTACGATTTTCGCTAATGTTCTGATTTTTTTACACCAATTTCTAATTTGATAAAAAAAATTACAGTGAATGTTAACCATTTTTAAAATCCCACAAAATATTAAAACGTGTTACAATTTCTCCTATATCCATAAACGACGTTAAGTTCTGTCGATTTTAATGATGACGTGGTATGTCATATCATATTTTTTCTGTCAAATCATCATATTCTGTAAGAAAATAAAAAAAAATTTAAAAATATAATTTTTTAAAAAAATTAAAGAATTAAAAGTTTAAATTTTAAAATTTTAAAGAATTTAAAAAAGTTCAAAAATTTTAAAAACTAAAAATTTTGAAAATTTAAAATTTATTTTTAAATTTTTTATTTTTTATTTTTTATTTTCTGATATGTCGTGATAATTTGGTGGAAAATATGTGACGTGACATGCCATATCAACATTAAAATTGATGAAACTTAACACATTTTATCAATATAGGAGAAATTGTAACACATTTTGATATTGTGTGAGATTTTGAAAATGTTTAAAATCCGATATAATTTTTTGTCAAATTAAAAATTGGTGTATGAATTTGGAACATTAACGGAAATTCGTGAGGAATATGGGATTTTTTCTTATTTATATAAATATGATGACCATTGGATTGGATTTTTACCTTTTTATTTAATTTTTTATTTGTTTAGAGTGGTTATGGCAGTGTTATAAGTGAGGCACAAGATAAATGTATGAAAGAGTTTGACTTGACAACGGAATGTGTACTATCATATTGCAGGGCCAAATGTTTTAGAAAATTGAATGGATTCCGAAACTGTCTCGAGAAATCTTAAGGATCCGAGAAATATGTTTGCAATTGCGTTTATAATTACGGTTCTATGTAATTTTATTATCACAAATTATATTTGTCCGGTTACCATTATATAAAATAAAAACGATATAGTTTTCATTATAACTAGAACTTGTGTTTTCTCTGACATATAATCGGTTCAAAAGGTAAATGCATAAAAATGCCATTTGTATTTTTGCGGAAATAGAAAAGGATAAAACGGTAAAATGAAATCCAAATTCAAAATAATAACAAACATATATATTCGTGAAGATTACAATAATAAGTCGTTACAACAGTTAAATTCCTATCGATACCAATCTTTATTCATCTGTGAAAGTCAAGGTACGCCCGTTTATGCAAAATGTACACTTTGACGATCCATTCGGACTCCCCACAGTATGTATCCGTACAACGTTAATTCAATCAACCTAATTGGGCCCACCCTTTTAATTGGGCCATATGAGTGTGCTTAAAACTTAACGGGCTTTTAAATTGAGGCCCAACAACAATTCGTCACAAAACACGGTCAAAGGATGAATGAACCTTGCACCAACCCAAGAAAGAAACCCGAGCTCATTACCAGAGGAAGATGGATATGATCAAACCAATACATTTAATCTGTGGTCAAATAATAAATTTCCAAAATATTCCACGTAAGGAGAAGAACTTTTGTTTCTCTTTTGCTGTACAAGCAGTCCACAGAAGCTATACATTTCACCAACATATTCACAACAAAAATACAAAACAATCATACTCATAATCCCTAAAAAAGTCATGGCCAGCCGTTCTTGCTCGTTCTTTTTGGCTTTGATACTTCTCGTCTCAGGTACTTTTTATCAACAACCATTTTTTCATCTTTCCTTATATATACATATATATATATACATATTGATATTGAATTCGATTTTTTATTTTTATTTTTGTTGAGAACAGTCATGACGGTGTTACCGGAAAGTGAGGCTCAACAACAGAGGTGTATAAAAGAGTTGGATCCAACAACGCAGTGTGTGCTATCAAACTGCAAGGCGAAATGTTTGAGACAATTGAATGGATTCGGAAGCTGCTTTGAGAAACCTTCTGGTTCCGGGAGTTATGTCTGCAACTGTGCTTATAATTGTGGTTCCGCATGATTTTAGTACTACTAAACTATATATGTCCGCTTAGTGTTACGTCAAATAAAACTTATATTTTTCTTTTTAATTATCAAGATTAAACTTGTGTTTTTCTCAAAAAATACGCAATAAACGAAATAATAAAATCAAAATAATTCCATCAATTTCAAAACTATCTTGTAACTATTAAATGATTTAAACATTTTTACATTAATCATACAAAAACAATTTATATCAGATAATGCAAAAATTGTATTTAAATCTAAATATAAATAATTCAACCGGTGAAATATGGACGTTTAACATCTGTTCTGCCCCAAATTCAAACTTCAAATTAAAAATATTTACATTAATTTTTCTAATCTTTTACATTAGTTTGAGTTTCGTAATAGATATCTAGTTATCCAAAAAATTATCTATCGATACACTAAATATGAGGGTAATTTCAGGAATTTAAAAATTGATATTAATAAATATAGAATGTATAAATATAGAGTCCTAAGTAACATTCCATTTCATTAGAGACAAGTTTAAAAGATAACTACAACTAGACTCGAAGATTGTGGGGTGACTCTCAAAATTTTCTATAAAAATATTCTAATTTTCAAAATATACATTTAAAACTTCAAGTATTCATGACTCCAAATAAACCGTCAATTTTGAAAATGTCTAAAAATCTTTATTACTACTAAATATCCATTCAAAACTTCCAACATAACAAATTCAAATAAAATATCAAAAACCATAAATTTTTTAATTTATATGTTTTCGATTCGATAGAAAATTTATGTTTATAATAATAATAATTTAATATCATAAGTATGTATAATATATAAGTTATAGGATTAAGTAAATTATTAATCTAATTCTACAAGACGACGGAAATAGTCTTGTGGATATATTAGCTAATAGAACGGCAACTATCATTTTTAATCTAATTCTATAAATGAAAAGGAAATTCGATGTTACATAACTCTTCTGTTTCATAGCAATTTGACCATTTTCAAGCATTTGCTCAGATATTACGACGAGGTTTACTACAAATATATATATGTGTTGCTAATACTACGCAGAATGAGAATCTTCCTCTCCTTCATGATCCTCTCCTTCTGAGTTCTCCAAGCTTAGAATGGCTTCTACCAGTGTAGAGATTCGGCCAGCGGATGTCCGGAGTCGAAGTAAGAGACGTCGTCCATTGTCGGATTATTCCAGTCGATGCCGAACCCATTATCGCCATTGTTGTCTTCATCTTGTTCGCCGAATTTGATCCACTCCCCTGTTATATCAAGACCATCGAAACTTTCATCCTGGGCATCGGTTCCAAGGCCCCAGTCCTCGAACAAACTGCGGTTTCCCGACAAATATTCGTCGATGCTCATGAGATCCGGATCCAATTGGTTGAATCCTTCAGGAAATTGCAGAGGAGGAAGTTTGTCTCTGTCTTGGAGATCGCAGAGCCCTTCGAACTGCGCAGACTTTGCGTTGCTGTCTTTGTCAAGATTATGTCCGCAAGAAACGATCTGTTCCTCTCTCTTCCGCTGAATTATACCCACACAGTCCTTCAGATCGCTTAGTTTCTCGATTTGAATTCTGAGTTCGTCAGGATCATCGCAGTTCTCCGACAAAAACCTAGACCCAGGATTGTTCTTCAGATCGCTTAGTTTCTCGATGAGAATTAAGAGGTCGTCATCGCAGTTCTCCGACAAAAACCCAGACCCAGGACTGTTCTTGAGATCGCTTATTAGTTTCTCGATGAGGATTCCGAGTTCGTCATCGCAGTTCTCCGACAAAAACCCAGACCCAAGATTCTTGTCCGGCAAGAAATTATGCGCTGTCGGAATACGGCCGCTGAGGAAGGCGTCGACGACGGCGTCAGTGTAGGAGTGACCGAAGGGACCAGAGTAGACGGCGTTGGGGTTTCCGGAAGGAGGAGTCGCTAAAACCGCGATTTGAGCACCGGAGATGGCGGAGAGTTCGGCGGCTTTCTTGAAAAGCCCTAGACGGCGTTTGCTGAACGTTACCGATCTCTGCGACAACAATTCGTCACAAAACACGGTCAAAGGATGAATGAACCTTGCACCAACCCAAGAAAGAAACCCGAGCTCATTACCAGAGGAAGATGGATATGATCAAACCAATACATTTAATCTGTGGTCAAATAATAAATTTCCAAAATATTCCACGTAAGGAGAAGAACTTTTGTTTCTCTTTTGCTGTACAAGCAGTCCACAGAAGCTATACATTTCACCAACATATTCACAACAAAAATACAAAACAATCATACTCATAATCCCTAAAAAAGTCATGGCCAGCCGTTCTTGCTCGTTCTTTTTGGCTTTGATACTTCTCGTCTCAGGTACTTTTTATCAACAACCATTTTTTCATCTCTTTCCATTAATTATTTTAAACCAATAAATATATTTTTTAATTAAAAAGACATTTTCAAGTGTCTATTATTTAAAATGTACATGGCATTACAACTTTGGAAAATAAAAATTTTTAAATCAATCATTATCTTAAAAAAGAAAAAATATCCATATTTTACATTATTATATAAACAAAAAACATTATAAAATATTATTTTACATGCACTTCATCTTAAACAAATTTAACCAAAACGTATTATCGAATTTTATCTTTTCTAATTTATTTTATGGATGAATCTCAATATATATTAACTTAAGACTGCAAGATGAAATAAATCTATAATTTTAAATCTTTTTTAAATTTGTCCATTTTGCAACATTATTTTTTTGCTGCTTTGAATTTTAAATGTGCTTTTGTAGATTGATGCGTCGCGAACTAGGTTCGGATTTATCTAGTTTTAATTTCCTAGACACGACTTCCGCAAGCATACGGATCAGTTATAGTACCTAGGGTCGAACTCTGGGGACTCGTCGGGAATCACCGGAACACAAATAAATACCCTCACTAGCTATGCGGTTTGGATTTTCTACTCGGTTTCAGTCGGTGGCGATAATGTGGTGGTGGTGACACTAAATCCTAATGCAGGAAACGTAAAGGGTGGATATATATATATATGGAAGATAGATATCATGGGTCTGAGAATTTTAGGTTGTATAAGAATTATTTTTACGGGTTACTTATCATTTCACTGGCTTGGTTTGGAAAATTCAAGGTCATTTATCGAAGATTACCCTCTCGGGTTTCACCTCTCTTCTTAGACACCTACAATCTACCGATCTCTCGATTCCTAATAGATTGAAGATTCTAAAAGCATGAAGATTCCTATCATAATTTCTAGACAAATTCTTTTATTTTCCAATAGTGATAATCATCTATATGTCACATTTTCTAGATGATATCTCTATTTTCTGATACAAGTTTTGTCTATCCGGGTAAATAGTTTCGAGGTTTAATTTCATATCACTATGTAAATTAAACCCTAAAATCATACAATTCAAGTGATTAGCAAGAATTGATATATTAAGAATCATTCACTCAAACCAAATATCAAACCAGTAATAATCAAAATACCCACACATAAATAAATCCTTAATACAAATTTAAATTCAAAACCTCATGACGGGAGTTCAACACACAAACACAACCAGAGAGAATAACAAGATATCGCACGGAAAAATCCCAGAGAAAGAATAGAGAGAGTTAGAGAGGCTTAGGAGTTATACAGACATATTATCATAAAATACTACGACTATCGATGATGGATATAATGCATGGAAAATGGAGTGGAGAAGAAGTTCTTAACTAATGGACCTTTCTTCGTCGGATGTGTTCGTTTTGCTTCTCTCAATTCAAGTTCTCTTGCGTTTGTGCAACTCCCTGCTTTTTAAACAAAAATAAAAATTTACATAAAACATAAAATAAAACACACTTTATATACAAGGATAGAATCAGATTCTCTCCCGATAAAGGCTCGTTTAAAGTCGTGAGCTTGACCATCTCGGTTCAGCACTCCTTCCGATTAGAGAAAACACAGCTCAGTGGCGGACACGGGCTCCATCGTCATGATCGCACATTTTTGGCCCACGATCGAGCCATCATGTTACCACGATGGGTCGATCGCATTTCTGAGAAAATTTTGCGCAGATTTCAATGCACGATCGCCCTATCGTGTGGCTACGATCGCGCTATCGTTGTTGGTTGACACAGTTGTAGTATTTTGCTCATAACTTTCTTCTCCGATGTCCGATTGGAGTGATCTTGGTGTCTACGCGTAGCTACTGAAAAGAGCTTTCCAATGACATATAGCACATGTGATTTGGGGCTGTATTGAGAAAGTTATGGAGGTCGAAATGTATAACTCTTGCACATTTGATCTGTCCAACTTAATTCCCTTGCAAATGACTCGTTTTTGTCGATTTCTCCAATTCTCCTGCAAAACAACATAAACATCGAAATCAAAGCAAAACTGTATAAAGGATATCTATAAATGTATAAATATCGTGAAATTCAATAGATATCCTATATCAAAATATAACGTTATTTACATGTCATCAAACTCCCCCAGACTTAGCGTTTTGCTCGTCCTCGAGCAAACTAATTCTAGAAAAGATTGATGAGTAACAGATACTGCTAAAAATAGAATCATACAATCAGATTATAAATCAGACATAGTGCTTACTGCGAACGAAATCAAAGACATCGCAACATGGCATTTCTATTTTAATGACAAACCTAGCTAGCGATGGGGTTTATTTCATCATTCAGAACTCTTCCAGACTTTTAACGTTCCTAACAAGCATTCTCAGAAAAATTGTATTTTCATTTTTTTTTTTTTTTGATACTCTACTACAATCTCTCTTTTTTTTTAAAAAAAAAAAGGTATCCCGAACTTCTAGGACGTTGAAGTCGTCGAGCATTTTTTTTTTGAAGTTACTCGACCCACAACTTAGACCCGAGTCATTTGGCACTCATGTCCCCGAATGATGTTCATTAACGAGATAAAGACAGCGGAGTGTCAGGATTTATTAGTAGAGATTTTTATCTTTAAAAAAAAAAAAAAACACAAAAATGAATAATACGAAAAAAAATGTGATGCTTGATTAAGATGGTTAAAAATCTTTCTGTCGTTTCGAATAGCGATCGACCCCACATTCTAACTAAATCTATCAAAAAAATTCGATATACCAAATTTGATTACCTCCAACAATTCGTTAGAAACTTAGGATTACCTAAGACAGTTCACAAATATGCCTGAAATCAATCTAACTATACTGATTCGAAAACTTTTTTTTTCGTATATACATATGCATTTATACACACAAATATATGTACAATGACTACACGCGTATATATACTTATATATGTACAAATGATTGCTGATGAATATGATTATCGAATCCTTCCCCCAGACTTGAACTGAACACCGTCCGCGGTGTTAGCTCTTTTATGCAGGGAAAGAACTGATACTATGTATGCATGGAGAACTAGAGTGGAGAAGAGGTACTTAACTGTTCGTGTGGAGCTTTCTTTGAATTTTTCATGTTGTTCCTATCGAAGAGTATTTGTGATGTGTTCCTCGTCTGTGTGAGCTCCCGCAGATTTTTTTTTTTATCACACCAAAATATAAAAAGGAAACTAATAACACAAAACAAATGTAACAAGTCTAAAACAAACATAAGTATGGAAATAAAAAGATAGAGATAGAAATGTGAGAGGATCACTCTCTAGTATCCCTCGGAGTATCATCGTGGTGGTCCATGGGATCGGATGCCGGTGGCGGAGCGGCGGACTCACCCTCAATTGGGTATCTCGAGGGTAGAGGAACCAGAGGTCTTCCCGCTAGCGTGAAATGTAATTGTTGAAGACCATGCAACACTTCTGTCTGAAAGTCGGTGTGCTGGCGCTGGTAGGTGTAGTATGCCTCCTGGGCTGCCCTGATCGCCTGTAGTTGCCCTTCCTGTCGGGTCCAAGACTGCTCCTGTCGTGTGCGGTAAGCTGTGTACTGCACGTTGCGTTGAATCTGGTGCTGAAGCATGGCACAAAGTTGCTGCTCTTGATACTCCCGAGATCGCTCCTGCTCTTGTCGGAGTGTCTGCATGTGGTGCTCCATCCTGTCAAAATATGCACTAAAGCTCGGTCCTGTATCTGAATGTGTGGCATCCCTCATAGGTGGTCGCTCATCGTGTACCGGGGCATCAATGTTGTGTGTTGTGCCCTCTGCGTCATGACCATCTTCATCGTTAGTCGTTCCTTCACCGTCAGCCTGTGATGCAATCAGTGCAACTGGCTCATGAGGCTCCGCGAGTGGGAATGCAATACCCTCAAGTGTAAGGGGAGGTACAGTGTTCCTCGATAGTCTGCTCTTGTAAGTGGTCCCATCTCTCTTCCGGAACCAATAGAAAGTATTGTACCTAACCCAGTCAATGTAGCTCTTGTGCTTAAGCATAAGAAGATCTAACCTCGTCTCTCCCTCAGCTATGTCAGTGAAGATGCCGAGGTTGATGCCGACGTGTCTGGCAATCATAGAGACGATCCCTCCAATGTAGATGGGCTTCGGAGACTGTGCTGGAATCTTCAGGAGATGCCTGAAGTATAGTGCAACCTGAGAGGCGAGATCCACCTCTCCCATCCTCCAATCGTCATCCTCAAACAAGTCCTTGAGGGCGAGACGGATGTATAGAATGTCCGTCTTCGTGATCTTCCCCGCCGCAAATTTGGCGAAAAGGCAGTTAGACATGAACTGCTGCAAGTAGCGGAGAGATGGGTGGTATACGCTGGTCGCTTGCCCTTTGCTGGCGTTGTAGTCTCCGTCGGCTATAGCCTTCCAGAAAGGCTGCATCTGCTCCTTGATGTCGATGTCAGGGAGTTTCCATGTCCTCCCTCGTGGCACAGCAAGTATCTCTGCGAATTGCCCCATGGTGAGTCGTACCTCGGTGTTGCACAGACGGAACTCCATGTAGGCACCCTCAATATTCCCGTTCCTCGGGAAATAACAGTCGTAAGAGGAGAGAAACTCCAAAGTCAACCTCGTGTAGGTTAGTTCATGTGCAGTGAAGAGCATTCTCCATCCGAGTCTCTCGAAAAGCTCTCGGACTTGATCTTGGATTCCGAGCTGTTCTATCTCGGGACTGACAAATCGGGTTGGCCGGACCCCTTGTCTCTCTAGTCGTCTGTATAACTCGGCTTGTGTTTCATCTCGGGGTGTTATTGTTGTTGGCTCGCCATGTACGGTAGTGATTGACATCAAAGGTGTGAGCTCGATAATTGCGCCTGGTCTCGGTGCACGTGATCTCTCAGGAACGGATCTAGAAGCAGTGGTACGTGTACGCTTGGTGCGAGAAGCCATCTGTAAAAGGAAAAAAAAAACAAAAAGTAAAATCGAATATTTATTTTATTTTATTTTATTTTTTTCGTTTTTTGTTTTTTGTTTCTTTTTATAGATGTATAATATATACATACATCATATATATAGTATATACACATATATATACGCATCGAGTATTTATATATACATATGTATGCATACTGTCATAACTATATGTATAGTATATATGCTATATATATTCATAACGAAAATATATAAACATTAACTATATATAAATATATTATACATATGTTATACATATAATATATATATATAAACACGCATATATTTACATATACATATATATAGCACCCATAAATACAAGTATTATTATTTATTATTATGATTTTTTTTCTTTTTTTTTTTCATTTCATTTTTTTATACACGCACAATCGATAGATCGATTGCGGCATGTTGACCTTCCTTCCCGAGGCAGTCAACGATCGATCTATCGCGTGAGTACGATAAATCGATCGCCGTCTCAGTTTCTCGCAGCACGCTCGATCGATCGTGTACGCACGACAGGTCGATCGGCGAACCTGTTCTTCGAAAAAACCCAGAAAATTTCGAGGCAAACTCGACCAAATCCAGTTCTACACCCACAATAAACACTAGGTTTTCTAAAATTGAAATCCATAAACCTCAAATCTAGTGTAAATGAGGAGATCCGAACCATACCTTAGCAAAAATCAGATCCGATGTGTGTGAGTGTGGATTATGGAAAGTGGAGTGATGGGGATGGTCGGAAAACGAGTTTTCCGGTGATGTTACAGTCTGATTTGGCAAGCTTTTTTTTTTTTTTTTTTTTATTGGGGATGGATTCATGGTGTGAAAGGGCGATAGTGCGAGTGTGGTTTTGAAGAAAACCCTTACCTGTTTCGGTGTGGAAGTTTTTTTTTTTTATATTTAATATATATACACATATATACATACTTTCACCACTGTTACCCTCTCATCCTGCGCATCAAACAGAGAAGAAAACAGAGGAAAAGTTTAATAATAAAAAAAAAAAAAACTGAAACCGAACAAAAATTTCGAATCGTATCACTAGTGGATTTATGATATCGTTCTGGTTTTCTAAGTATTACGTTAATTCCGTTGAGTCCCCGGCAACGGCGCCAAAAACTTGATGCGTCGCGAACTAGGTTCGGATTTATCTAGTTTTAATTTCCTAGACACGACTTCCGCAAGCATACAGATCAGTTATAGTACCTAGGGTCGAACTCTGGGGACTCGTCGGGAATCACCGGAACACAAATAAATACCCTCACTAGCTATGCGGTTTGGATTTTCTACTCGGTTTCAGTCGGTGGCGATAATGTGGTGGTGGTGACACTAAATCCTAATGCAGTAAAAGGGTGGATATATATATATTTGGAAGATAGATATCATGGGTCTGAGAATTCTAGGTTGTATAAGAATTATTTTTACGGGTTACTTATCATTTCACTGGCTTGGTTTGGAAAATTCAAGGTCATTTATCGAAGATTACCCTCTCGGGTCTCACCTCTCTTCTTAGACACCTACAATCTACCGATCTCTCGATTCCTAATAGATTGAAGATTCTAAAAGCATGAAGATTCCTATCATAATTTCTAGACAAATTCTTTTATTTTCCAATAGTGATAATCATCTATATGTCACATTTTCTAGATGATATCTCTATTTTCTGATACAAGTTTTGTCTATCCGGGTAAATAGTTTCGAGGTTTAATTTCATATCACTATGTAAATTAAACCCTAAAATCATACAATTCAAGTGATCAGCAAGAATTGATGCATTAAGAATCATTCACTCAAACCAAATATCAAACCAGTAATAATCAAAATACCCACGCATAAATAAATCCTTAATACAAATTTAAATTGAAAACCTCATGACGGGAGTTCAACACACAAACACAACCAGAGAGAATAACAAGATATCGCACGGAAAAATCCCAGAGAAAGAATAGATTTTAAAGAACGCTGTCGTTCTCTCCTTTTTGTTTTAGTGGCGTAAATCAAGGAAATCATGTCTTTCTTTTCGGACGATCGCGATATCGTCGGTGACGATCGTTCGATCGTCACTAGAAAACACAGCTCAGTGGCGGACACGGGCTCCATCGTCATGATCGCACATTTTTGGCCCACGATCGAGCCATCATGTTACCACGATGGGTCGATCGCATTTCTGAGAAAATTTTGCGCAGATTTCAATGCACGATCGCCCTATCGTGTGGCTACGATCGCGCTATCGTTGTTGGTTGACACAGTTGTAGTATTTTGCTCATAACTTTCTTCTCCGATGTCCGATTGGAGTGATCTTGGTGTCTACGCGTAGCTACTGAAAAGAGCTTTCCAATGACATATAGCACATGTGATTTGGGGCTGTATTGAGAAAGTTATGGAGGTCGAAATGTATAACTCTTGCACATTTGATCTATCCAACTTAATTCCCTTGCAAATGACTCGTTTTTGTCGATTTCTCCAATTCTCCTGCAAAACAACATAAACATCGAAATCAAAGCAAAACTGTATAAAGGATATCTATAAATGTATAAATATCGTGAAATTCAATAGATATCCTATATCAAAATATAACGTTATTTACATGTCATCATAGATGCAAAAATATACATAACATCAATGTCTTGTTTTTTAACACACTAAATTATCAGAATTTGATATATAGTTTTATTTTAGTATTTTTTTTATGTGTGATTTAAATGATCAAATATATAAATATATTTTAAAATTTATGTACAACTACATAATTATCTAAAGGATATAGATATCATTTTATTTATTTTAAGATAATTACATTGTTTTATTTAAAAATTTTAGTTTTAAAATTTTATTTTTATATACTACTTCATCTTAAACCAAAATAAACTTAAAGATTGTTTTTTTAATTAAAATACTTATTTGATGGTTTTAAATAATTAATTGAAAATAGATGGTTTTTTAAAGAAATTTTAAAATTATAATTTTTTTTAGTTTATCCCTTTGAAAAAATAAACAAACTAGTATTAAAAAGTATTTTTTTTATCAATCAAATGTTTTATAACAATAAACTTGATTGTATTTTGAACATGATATCTCAAATCTGTGAGACGGATCTCGGACATATCTTAATTAATTTCGTTTTCTTAGATTAATTAAATGCGTACTGATTATAATTAACTACAAAAAAAAATACGGAGTCGAAAAAAATAACAAATATAAGGGGTAAAGACATTTTCCTTTTTAGCTACACCCTATGGTAAATATGGGACGTTTCCGTAAATACATTCAATTACATGTCCACTTTCATACGGCGACACGAATAAAACTCGTCGATCGATCCGTTCCTCCGCCGTCCGTACAGCCTAGTCTCCGCCGTGTTCTTCTCCTTCATCCACTTCCTTAACGTCGTTTTCCAATCGGATCGTCTCCCGGGAAGTGGTTCATCGGAGGTTTTCCGGCAACCGAAATCGGTTTTCCGGGAGAGGATGATGGGATTTTCCAATGGCTGAGGCGATGGGGCCCATTATTTGGATCGCTCCGTTCCTCCGCCGTCCGCGCAGCCTAGTCTCCGCCGTGTTCTTCTCCATCATCCACTTCCTTAGCGTCGTTTTCCAATCGGATCGTCTCACCGGGAAATGGTTCTCAAGAACTTTTGTGTTTTCTTCAACTATATAAGCGGTCCACAGAAACCATATATTTCACCAACATATTCACAACAAAAATACAAAACAATCACATTCATAAACCCCCGAGTCATGGCCAGCCGTTCTTGCTCGTTCTTTTTGGCTTTGATGCTTCTCGTCTCAGGTACTTTTTATCAACAACCATTTTTTCATCTTTCCTTATATATATATATATAAACATATTGATATTGAATTCAATTTTTTATTTTTATTTTTGTGGAGAACAGTCATGACGGTGTTACCGGGAAGTGAGGCTCAACAACAGAGGTGTATAAAAGAGTTGGATCCAACAACGCAGTGTGTGCTATCAAACTGCAGGGCAAAATGTTTGAGCCAATTGAATGGATTCGGGAGCTGCTTTGAGAAACCTTCTGATTCCGGGAGTTATGTCTGCAACTGCGCTTATAATTGTGGTTTCGCATGATTTTAGTACTACTAAACTATATATGTCCGCTTAGCGTTACGTCAAATAAAACTTATATTTTTCTTTTTAATTATCAAGATTAAACTTGTGTTTTTCCCAAAAAATACGCAATAAACGAAATAATAAAATCAAAATAATTCCATCAATTTCAAAACTATCTTGTAACTATTAAATGATTTAAACATTTTTACATTAATCATACAAAAACAATTTATATCAGATAATGCAAAAATTGTATTTAAATCTAAATATAAATAATTCAACCGGTGAAATATGGACGTTTAACATCTGTTCTGCCCCAAATTCAAACTTCAAATTAAAAATATTTACATTAATTTTTCTAATCTTTTACATTAGTTTGAGTTTCGTAATAGATATCTAGTTATCCAAAAAATTATCTATCGATACACTAAATATGAGGGTAATTTCAGGAATTTAAAAATTGATATTAATAAATATAGAATGTATAAATATAGAGTCCTAAGTAACATTCCATTTCATTAGAGACAAGTTTAAAAGATAACTACAACTAGACTCGAAGATTGTGGGGTGACTCTCAAAATTTTCTATAAAAATATTCTAATTTTCAAAATATACATTTAAAACTTCAAGTATTCATGACTCCAAATAAACCGTCAATTTTGAAAGGCATGGACGAGCCACCTTATCTGATTCGACTGCTTTCTCGTTCACTGAGTTCGACTGTCTGAAATAGATGACGTTCGTCTATAGTGCGGCCACACATTTCTACAGTCTCACTCACACGAGGGGCCCAGCGATATCTCTCTCTTTTACGAGAGGTACAAATCCCGCCTTGACTATC